CTATTTATTTATAGTAGAAGGTTTCAGGGTAATGATTACAAGTCTGCAAGTGAGCAGGTGTAATACAATTCCTACCGCGCTTCACATTGGCTGATTACATAGGAGATATCCTTAAATCGTGTTTGTGAGCTATAAGCTGGTCAAACCAACTTATAAACTCTAAAGCTTATAAGCCAAAAAATATAAGTTGAGGGGAACTTAATTTTCATAAGCTCGGCCAAACATACTTGTTAATGCTTGATTTTGACACTAACGATTCGCACTTGTAAAGTGCTAAGTTGACTTAGAAATTACACGTGAATGAAAGAGACAATGAAGAAAATGGAAGATGATTTTTAAAGTGGTTCGGATGCTTAAAGTGAATCTTACATCCACTGTTCTTTTATATATATATGAGGTTACAGGAAGTCGCGTATAGCAAATAATGAGTAGTAAGCAGAGGTACAAATGACTGATTATTTAGAGAAAATATCACGTCAGTCTCTTTCTCGCAGGTTATCAGTGCTTTGAGAATAAAATGTTACAATCAGAATCCTGAAAATGAGAGGGGGAGCCCTCTATTTATAATAGAAGGTTTCAGTGTAATGATTACAAGTCTGTAAGTGGGCAGGTGTAGTACAATTCCTACCGCGCTTCCCATTGGCTGATGACATAGGAAATATCCTCAAATCGCGCAGGGCTCGGACAGGTGGGCGACTCCCATCCACTCGTAGATAAAGCCTGAGTCTGCCAAGTTAATGACAACTATATTCTTTCTGTCTTTTGATGACATGGCAGCTCTTGGATGGCACAAAGCCTTCCTGCACTCTGATTGGCGCTTGTTGACGTAAGCTCACGTCAGCCTTGATTTTCTAGGTATAACAGAAGCTCCCCAGTTCTTAAGGTTCAAAAATTGAATCTTGAGAACTTCATGATTATGCCGCAACCTGACTTATTTCTAAGAGCACTTGCTCGAACTATCAGTTGAGAACAGCCTGATTGAAACAAGGTCGATGACTTCACTCGACCAATGAACTGAATAGAGGTTGCGACATGGATCTTCGAGAGTTACACAAGCGACCTGAGGTGATTGTCCCAAAAGGTTCAGCAACCTATGTCGGATCCTACCTAGTGCTATACCGATGTGTTTCGAACTCTATATGTCATCCACGACCTGAAAGTACTTAGAGTATTTTGCTGTCGAAAGTTGAAAATCACTTCACTCCGAGTTTGATAAATGGGGAAGAGTGTTTTTTTTTTTTTTTCAAATGACCTATTCAGATGTTATTCGTTGCACTTGACAGTTGTCTTGGTCAATAAAATAAGTTTTATCTGACAGACGTGTCTTTCTGTAATAAGTGTCAACCATAAGCATTAAATGCAAGTCATGCTGAAACAACATTCTCTTTTAAAGCATTAGGTGTGGATGAGGGCACATTTAATGTGAAGGAGATAACCACGTCGACGTTTGGCATAGGCATGGGCATAGGCATGGGCATGGGCATGGGCAATCTAAATCAGCACTTGGCATGGGCAGTTAGAGTCATGCCAAACAGCGACATTTGGCTAAGTTGGAAACTTGGTGAAGCTCTATGAGGTCGTTAAACTCATAGAGGTGATCCTGCAGATCAGAATTCCCATCCAATGCTCACATATCGGGCATTCTAAACTTTAACGGGAGAGGAGCAGCTAACACTATTAGAGAAAAAGGGGAGCTTCAGCGGCTCACCTACGCTCATTCAGCCGAGCTCTAAGTTGATCTAGAACTCGTTATAACTCCTCAATCTAAGGAAGCAGAGCTATCTGGGGATCGCTTTCCGCAACGTGGGTTCGGCCTTCACGATTGTGGTTGAGGAAAGACTGCAGGTCGGACTCTTCCTCATCTCTACCAGAGCCTTCGACGTTCCTCGACACACGCTAGCTAGAGCCATGTGTGGGCATTGAATGGCCAGGGGACTTATCCCGACCTCCACGGTGGTCAAAACCGACCCGTGTATGGTGAACATTTCCCTTGTGGTGATGGTCAGGACCATTATGCCAACGATGAAGGGAATCTCCCTGCCTTGTACTCTTTCGAAGGTGCCCAAGCGATGTGGCGTGGGACGACTCCTGATACGACATATCGCCAAGTTGTAAAGCCATGGGTATGCTACCTGCTTCATGATTGGCAATCGTTGGTCCCTTTAAGCCCTTTGGCCCATTATCTGCCACCTGTTTTCCCTTGTCTTTAAGCGTTGTAGGGCACGCGGTATTGGCTTTCGCCCATTTTCACGCTTTAGCGTGATCTACAGGCGACTTTGGTGGCGGCACCACCTTATCAGAATTGAGCAGTACGACCTGATCCAAACGGTTTAGCCTTCGGCTAACCATTTCGAGAGTATTGTTGAACCTCTCCGGTAACTCCTCACAGTTGGATAGAGCTGTGAGCTCGAGGGAAAATCCGCTGTGGTATTTTGCAAAATGGGAGGTACTTCAAAAGAAGTATCGTCCTGTACCCAAGGGGATCTCCTCGGGGTTGGGGCTGGTTCGCTCGATTTTGAAACCACAAGTCATTTGTTAGCAAGTAGAGCTAATTGATCAGAGATTCTTGATGAAGAGTGGATACCAAATCACGCCCTCCTTCTAGCGCCAAACTGTTGATGTTTGATTTTGACACCAACGATTCGCACGTGTAAAGTGCTAAGTTGACTTAGAAATTACAGGTGAGTGAAAGAGGCAATGAAGAAAATGGAAGATGATTTTTGAAGTGATTCAGATGCTTAAAGCGAATCCTACATCCACTGTTCTTTTATACATATGAGGTTACAGAAGCTCGCATATAGCGAACAGTGAGCAGAGGTACACATGACTGATTATTCAGAGAGAATATCACGTCAGTCTCTTTCTCGTAGGTTATCAGTGCTTTGAGAATAATAGGTTACAATCAGAATGCAGTTTTTTTTAATCAAATTCCCGAAAATGAGAGGGGGAGCCCTCTATTTATTTATAGTAGAAGGTTTCAGGGTAATGATTACAAGTCTGCAAGTGAGCATGTGTAATACAATTCCTACCGCGCTTCCCATTGGCTGATTACATAGGAGATATCCTTAAATCGTGCAAGGCTCAGACAGGTGGACGACTCCCATCCACTCATAGATAAAGCCTGAGTCTGCCAAGTTGATGACAGCTATACTCTTTTTGTCTTTTGACGACGTGGCAACTCTTAGACAGCACAAAGTCTTTCTGAACTCTGATTGGCGCTGGTTGACGTAAGCTCGCATCAGCCCTGATTTTCTAGGCATAACAAGGCTCATGATATTTGATGAATGGACACATCCAGATAGACTTGAGGTACCGGTGCATGTTGAAAAGTTGGCGCCACAAAAAGTGCTACACAAGGCTGAATTCAAGAAAGAAGGTGTTCTGAGAAAGTCTATCACAGGAAAAAAAAAAAGTTGACATCCCTAGGTTATATTTTTACAAAAATTCAGGCCACATATATTTTTCACTTGCAAAATAGTCCCTACTAAACTCTGTTATCAATTACATAATCTATTATGAAAAGTCTAAAATACCCCGAGAAGCAAATTTTAGAAAAATAGAAACCTAAATTACATTTTAACCCTTATTACAGTTTTATTCATTTTAAACAAAATACTTACCGTTCATTCGTGAGTTCATAAATTTGTTGAGTTGACAATATTAAATATTACTTTTTAATTATCAAATCTCCATAGAATGATTAGAATTTAATGTTGAATTTTTAATTCAAAACTTCAATTCAAAAGATATGTTAATAATTTATAGTAAAACTAAAACATATAAGAGTTTTTAGTATATATATGTACTAAGAAAACAAACTCTTGTACATAATTGATGTGTTATGAATCTTTTGTGATAGAATCAATCATCCACATACATTGAATTGATGTTCATGCTTTAATCCATTTATTTTGTGTCTCATCAAGTTTGTATGTGAAAGGAATAATCATGTTAAAGAAATAACTTGTAAATATATTAAAGTGAACAATAAGATTATCATTTATAGTGATGTCTAGCGTGTTAAACGAGTATTGTGCAATATATGTTGAATCTAGATGGTTCCTCACATGGGTATTGTCTACAGTGTTCAACGAGTTTAGCGATTAAGAGATTCTGGTAAGATAGGGGAATCACCTTCTATGGTTAGAGAGAAGAGGTTTAAGCTGTGAAATTTAAAACTTAACCATACTTCACATTGGATACCTTGTTATTGTCAAAGTATTCAACTTAAATGGCATTTATATATATGTACGGGATTACCTTATTTTGATTCCTTACCAAAAACAGAAGGATTTTGTGGAAGTAAAGTACCTTTTCTGGATGGTTACCATTAAGTCATCTGATAATCCACAAGAGAGGGTAAAATTACCCTCTCGGCATAACCCATGACCAAAGTATAATCAGCAAACATTGACTTGCCAAGTCAATTCCATTAAATGTTAGATTGAGTTGTAATACAGATCGGACTTTTAATAGTATTCTGGAATGCTCCCCCATTTCACCTAACCTTTCTAGGAACCAACCGCGCATATCATGCTCCATACTCCATGGTTGTTATATTCTTCTTTAATGACAATTACACTTTACACAACATTAAAAAAGCATTGACTAATAATCGCCCAAAATCACAAAGTTGTGTGTATCAATTCTAACACGGCTTCAAATATTTGACCAGTAAACGCCTCTAGTCTCAAAGTTTGGTGTATTCTAACGCGGCAATGTCAAGAAATTATGCAAACTTCAAAGTAAACGCAGCCAATGTAGAATCAGCTAACTCCAAACAAATCGGTTCGTTGATCACACCGTCAAATATCATGCACGTTTCGTCCATCCAACGTCTCAGACTCCATCAAAATTTCTGAGTCTATTCAATAAGAAAATATGATAATTGTAGACATTACAAAAGATGCAAATCCGAATAAATATAAAGTAACTGGAATATGCTTATTAAATAATTTATCTTATTATAAAAGTTGACATATATATAGGGATATGATATCCCAAACACTTATATAACTTGAGTTCTTATCCTCTTATAAAGAAAAAACAGAGCCCAAAAACAGAGAAAGCAGAGCAGAGGCGACTTGATTATAAAACAAAGCAGGCGCGACCTGAGTTTAAGAACACATACTAGGCAATGGCTAGAAGTTTGAACAAAATTTTTGTTGTAGCAATTGTTGCTATAGCGGCTCTGCTTCATAGCTCCAAGGCACAGACAACACATATAGTGGGTGATGCCCTAGGCTGGATTGTCCCTCCAAGTACTGATACTTACACAACATGGGCTGCAAATCAGACCTTCAAAGTTGGTGACGTTCTAGGTAACTTTCCTTTTTTAAAATTATGGTCTCTTCACAGTTGTAAATGAATCGATCAAAAGTTTTATATGTATAATTTTAATGTGTTTAATTTTTATGGTTTGTTCAGTGTTCAATTTCGCCGCTGGAAGACATGACGTTGCTCAAGTCACAGATGGTGCATTTAATGCATGCAACACTAGTAGTCCCATTTCGAGAGAAACAAATAGTCCTGCAAACATTACTCTGACTTCATCAGGCGAGTATTACTACATTTGCACAGTTCCTGGCCACTGCAGTGGCGGCCAAAAGTTGATGATCAACGCTAGTGCTGCAGCTGCTTCTCCGGCTCCTCAACCCTCCACTGCTCCCTCTCCCGTTAACGCTCCAACACCAACACCCGTTACTGCACCACCACCACCACCAACACCAACACCAACAACTGCACCAACACCATCTCCCACAAGAGCACCAGTGACTTACGTTGTTGGAGATAATATGGGGTGGATTATTCCACCAAACACTTCCGCTGGTTACCAAAACTGGGTTCGTGGCAAGACCTTCGTGGTTGGAGATATTCTAGGTGAGGACAATTAGATTTTTAATATTTTTTTTAAATGATCTTGATTTTCTATTGAATGTGTTTGAAAACACTAAACACATCTAACATGAATAATCTCTCTTATTTCTATTTGCAGTTTTCAACTATGCGATGAATGCTCACGATGTGGCCGAGGTGTCAAAACAAGCATACGGATCATGCGACAGTAACAACACCATTTCTTTCAATTCAAACCCACCTACAAGAATTACTCTCACAACTCCTGGCGAACATTTCTACATCTGTACCTTCCCTAATCACTGTTCAGCTGGCCAAGAGCTGGCCATCAACGTCACCGGAACCGGCACTGCCGCGTCACCATCGCCCAGTACTGCCACGCCACCATCACCCGGTACTGCCACGCCACCATCACCCAGTACTGCCACTCCTCCTTCTACAAACACTCCTTCAGCGCCATCTCCAACAGGTGCGACCACCCCTTCTGATCAATCAGGAAACTCTGCTAAGTCTCTAAATGCTGCCGGCTTATCTATCACTTTCTTAGCCATTATCGTTATAGGTTTGTTGTATTAGACGTGGTATAGAGTTAGTCATTTTCTTTGTAAGTTCAATGTATTAGCCATTATCAATGTGATTCATTTTACCAGAAGTTGACATGTTACAGAAATTGAGATTTTTGTATTACAACAATAAAGCAGATTTTGACATTTTGGCTTTGTGATTTTATTTTCTAATTAAACATTAATGATCGTACTAACTAGATCTCAAATTTTCAACCCATATCACGATAATCTTTTGTCTGATATATCGATTGAGGATCTGGATTTGACAAGATTACTAAGCAGCAGTTTCTATCATTCACAGATAAGGGTAGGTTTGGTAGGTATCAAGAATTTTTTTTTTTTTTTTTTTTTTTTAATTGTATACCCGACAAGCGATATTTTGGGGTAGAAAATTAACAATTCTAATCAAAAAGTCAAAGCCAAGTGTACGCAATGGTCCTGCTCTTCTATCTTCAAGTCTATGTTTAATTATGTTTGACATGGAATACTTGATAAACTTATTTTATATGTTTCTTGATCACTNAAGGACAAGTGTTGAAGGGTTTTGATGGGTGAGGCTCAAGGAAGAAAAGGGTGGTGGTTGGTTAGGTTAAATTGATTTGGAGAAGTTGAGATTTAAGAAGAAGAAGATGAGAACTAGAGAATTGGAGAAGTTGCGATTTTCCTTTTTTTTTTTTTTTTTTATTTAAACCGGGTATAATTCGGGTATTCAATTTATTCTTAATCTGACTCGGTACCTAAACCAAAAATTTGGTATTTCCTAATGTACTACCCGAACCTGACCTAGATTTTTGGGTATCCGAAAAATTTGGTTCAATTTAGTTCGGTTATCGTGTTCGGTTTGGGTAACGGGTAATTTGCACACCCGAACCACACATAATCAATTTGCTAGAGTGATTTGTGTAGTTTAAAGAAGAAAAGAGTTAAGAAAAATGTTAGAGAATTTTTTCTCTCAACCTTTAGCTTGGCGGCAATTGAAGGGATATGGGATATTTAAGGAAAAATGCCTTTTTATAGGCTAACCCTAATCTCCCCTTATTAGGATCTATTACTAATATACCCCCATCTAATTAAATAATTAGATATTATGATTTTCGAAGAAATTAATTAACCGGGTATTAAGCAATTATTATTTTATTCATCCAATAATAATTATTCAATATTTAAAACTTATATACACCAATATATATATATTTAACTAATGATATTTTCAATCTTATAAATTAAATCCAATACGGGATTAGATCCAGGCAACAACCTTTCCAACAAATTTAATTGCTCCTTAACATTTACCAAAATACCCTTTTATCAGTAAATGATGAAAATGCCCCTCACTTGTTATCTTCTTTAAATTGCCTTTTAAATGTGTGACATGCAGACTCCTTATCATATCAGCAGTGAGTAATATTATGATCAACACCCTATTAATCATCTCATTACACACATACCAAGATTGGCCTCTAGCAAGGCATCATGGCTACCTAACAGATTCGGGTTCAACGTATTCCCTACCTATCAATAGTATGGTTACCATGCAATCAAATCTTTTCATCATCTATTATCTTATCAAGGTTTGAAGCATAGAAATAATGTCAGCTTCAAGTATGAGCCACCTTGACATATTCAGATTCGGTTATTGGACTAATCGACTAACCGAGCAAAAACTTGATTCCACCGTGGCCACAGATTTAAGGTCGTTGTCTCTTACCAAATATCTCACCGAGATAATTTCTCCTATACTCAGGGGTGATGAATCCTTTCTCAATCCACCATGGCCATAGTGTACTTCTCAATGCAGCCAATCACCACCATACTGATAACCCTAAATAGGATTATGTTAGACTAGTGTCAAACTACACCAATGTTTACACACAATGCTTTGGTGATCTCAAGTCTAAGTACCACATGAACCACCATCCGTTAGAGGATGTATTCCTTAGACATTGGGGTTACCATCTATATGGGCCAATTCGATGAACTTGTGAATAACAAGCACCCATGCGTCGCACTAAGTTGTCACCAAACAACATTGACATGTGAGATTTGTCACTACCTTCTGGTAGGGTTGTTCAACACTATGATAATCTTATTGTATTATGTATGTCCTAAGTCAGGATAATACTGGGGCTACGGACATTTCTAGAATAGCCACCAAATGTGATCATAGGGATCTCACAATCAAGACTTAACACTGCTTGATTCCCTTGTTATGGTTCAACCACTCTAAGGACATATATTATCACATACATATGGAATATACCTTACATAATATAAATGATGCCTTTTATTAATAAAATAACATGATTCATAGAGTTAACATACAACAGTATGATTGACTCTAGGGCACCTACTATAACAATCTCCCACTTGCACTTATAGAAAATCATTTACATATTTAATACCAACTGAAGCTAGGTGCCTATCATGCTTCTATTGCGACAGTGCTTTTTTAAGCGGGTCTGTGATGTTGTCATCGGTAGGTACTCTACTTATTTGCACATCTCTTATCTAAACAATTTTCCTGATTAGGTGGAATCGTTTGAGTATATGTTTGGATCTCTAATGAGACAGTGGTTCATTGGCCTAAGCAATGGCCATATTGTTGTCAAAGAATAATTGTACTGGATCAACAATGATTGGAACCACACCAAGTTTAGTAATGAACTTCTTGATCCATACCGCCTCTTTGGCTGCATCTGATAATGCAATGTACTCAGCCTCCATTGTAGAATCAACTATAGTACTCTACTTTAAGCTTTTCTAACTCACTACAGCTCCATTGAGACAAAAGACAAAACCTGATTGTGATCGATAGTCATCTCTATCAGTTCGAAAACTGGCATCACTATATCCTCTTACAGTGAGTTCATCCTCTCCTCCATAAACCAAGAACATATCCTTAGTCCTCTTCAGGTACTTAAGAATGTTCTTGATTGTTATCCAATGATTCTCACTTGGATCCGATGGATATCTACAACAAATGCTTAAAGCATATGAGACATCAATCCAAGTACATAACATGGCGTACATTATGAATCCAATATCAGATGCATATGGTATCCTATTTATCTTATCTCTCTCCTCGGATGATTTTGGACACATGTCCTTTGAGAGATAAAAACCATGTGACATAGGAAGAAGTCCTTTCTTGGATTCTTCCATACTAAATCTCTTTAGCACCTTGTCAATGTATATACTTTGACTTAGGTCGAGCAACCTATATAATCTATCTTGATAGATCTTGATACCAAGGATGTAGGCTGCTTCACCTAAGACCTTCATAGAAAAGCACTTGGATAACCAAGTCTTTTCCGTTTGTAAATTCGATATATCATTCCTAATTAGTAATATGTCGTTGACATATAATATTAGGAATGCCATTGCACTCCCATTGGACTTCTTATAACCACATGGCTCATCTTTGTTTTTGATGAAATCGAATTCTTTAACGGCTTCATCAAAATGAATGTTCTAGCTCCTTAATGCTTGCTTAAGTCCATATATTGAGCTTTGCGACTTGTATACCTGTTCTACTTGTCCTTCAAGAACGAAACCATCGGGTTGCGTCATATAGACATCATCTTCAAGGTTTATGTTCAGAAAAGCAATTTTGATATCCATTTGCCAAATCTCATAATCACGGTATGCAGCTATTGCAAGCATAATCCGAATGGACTTTAGCATTGCTACTAGTGAAAAAGATTCATTATAGTCTATGTCATGCTTTTTTTTGAAACATTTGGCAACCAACCGTGCTTTATAGGTATGCACGTTACCTTCTATGTTTGTCTTCTTCTTGAAGACCCATTTACATCCTATGGGTTTGAGCCTTCGGGTAAATCCACCAGAGTCTATACTTGGTTCTGGTACATGGAGTCCATTTCCAATTTCATGCCTTCAAGCCATTTTGTGGAATCTAGATCCGATATAACGTCACCGTAGGTTTGAGGTTCATTGTCTTGATAAACCAGTACGTTACCATGCTGAGTAAAGGTGGAAAAATAACCCACCCGGCCCGGCTGCGACGGGTTATAGGGATTGGTGGGTCGAGCCTGACTCGACCTCCTAACCCGACTCGCCTCTTGGCCAGAAAGGCTAGCCCAGCCCTGCCCGCCAACCCTAACCCGACGGGTTATGATGCGGACCAGGCCGGGTTAGCCCATAATTTTTGTTTTTTGTTTTTTAATTTTTTCTTTTGTGTAATTGTTTTTAGATAACTTTTCAAATATCAATAATTCAATTAAATTAATTTTTTTTTGTTAACATTTCAAATATTAATTCAATTTTAATACAATAAAATTGTAATATAAGAAAAATTAGATTTATTCATTTATCAAAAAATAAAATAAGAAATTACAACAATTATTGCCTTGCTAAAAACCTTACCAAGAAAAACCCAATGGGACAAAAACTTGGTAAGGAAAAAAGAGNTTCCTTGATATCTGCATTTTGTTTAGTGATGGCAATGGCCCGGGCCAGGACTGGATACCCCTTGACTCAGGCCCAAGCCCAACCTGACAAAGGCCCAAGTCCGGCCCGGACCTGTCATTGGTATGATAGGTAAAATCTAAGTCCAGTCCGATGAGTTTTTTGTAACCTCAAGCCCGGCCCAAGCCCACCCATTTTTATAATGTGAATTTCTAAATATTAATAAATTTCAATTTTTTTATATTTTTAATTCTAAAAATAGTTTTTAAATATTAATTTATTTTTGAATACCCAATCAAATGGGATGAGATTAGGGTTTGAGAAAAATTGGTATATACGTAAGATAATCTTGTAATTAAATATATAGTATAAAGATAATTTAGTAAAATTAATACTAAAATTATCGGGCTAGGCAGGGCCTGAAGACATACCCAGACCCGACCCGTACCTGAGATCGGGCCTTAAAATCAGGCCTAGGTCCAAACCTAAGCCTGTGAACATCGGATAAAGCCTGACCTTTTTAGGCCAGGCTGGCCGGGTACCCAAAAATATGGGGCCCTTGCCATCTCTAATTTTGTTTGTAATTTAACATACGCGCCAAAGCTCAAGAAACAAATGCACTAATTACTCTAGTTTGTGACTAACGATAATTTTTATGCATTGCCATCATAATTCCCAACAGCCGTTCTTCACTTTTGCCCTGACATAAGTATCTGATTGGTATCTGTCTGAAAAGTGATGACACCACTTTGTTGCCATGACCACAACTCTATCTCTATTCTCAAAGAGGGTTCTTTGATATTTCTCACAGACTCACAGGATAGAAGTGGTGGAAAAATAACCCGTCTGGCTAGGCCTGCGGCGGGTAACAAGGGTTGGTCGGGTTAGGCCCGTCTCTTGACCAGAGAGGCTGGCCTAACCCTGCACGCCAACCCTAACCCGATGGGTTATGATGCAGGCCGAGCCGGGTTAGCCCACAATTTTTTTTTTTTCTTTTGTGTAATTGTTTTTAGTTAACTTTGTAAATATCAATAATTCAATTAAATTAATTTTTCTTTTATTAACATTTCAAATATTAATTCAATTTTAATACAATAAAATTGTAATATAAGAAAAATTAGATTTATTCATTTATCAAAAAATAAAATAAGAAATTACAACAAATATTGTCTCATTAAAAACCTTACCAAAAAAAAACCCAATGGGACAAAAACTTAGTAAGAAAAAAAGAGTGCAATAATTGATAATTAATTTACAATTTACAAAACAACTAATTTTGGGGTTGACTAGGACCTTTCTCATTCGTATCATCTATATTATAAAATTGAAATGATTCTATTAAAGTATCGTCGACAACCTCGTATTGATCTTGATGGCGCGACCGTTCCCAATCTCGAAGACATGTAAGGACTTCAATCATTTTTTGTGAAAGTTTAGTCCTCCTTTCATTTAAAATTCTTCCACTTGCACTAAATGTTTGTTCGGATGAGACAGTTGAGACAGGAACAGCGAAAACATCCAAGGCAAGTTTTGATAATACCGGATAAATATATTTTCTGGTTTTAAAATATTCTAAGACATCAAAGTTGACTCTTTGTTGTGGATCTGCTGGTAACACTTTGGGGGTTCCAAAATATTGCTGAAGCTCATTACTCTGTGACTGCATGGAGGACAGTACATTCGTTGTTGGTGCTTCTGAAAAGGAGTTATGCTTCGGGTTCGGGTCCTCTTCGGCCTATTAAGTGCACTCCAAGAATCGAAGTCTTCATTTGTTTCTTCTGATGCAACTTCCCTGAGTATTTCGCCTCTTTGCTCGTTCTCATACCTGTTTTCATATTGCAAATATACCTCTGCAAGACACTCTCTTACCTTGCCTAATTGATTGGCATATGCTTCGTTTTATACATTTTCAGTTAATGTGTCTAAACCATTTTTTAAACCTGCAACTTTAATTCTACGATCAAATATAACACCTAAACAATAAAGAAAAGGAATGGGTTTCCAATATTTAAAAAGAAAAAAATTCATAGTCTTTATTGGTCCTCCTAAAATTTCATTGTTTCTGTTTTTTTCTAAATAAATCTGAAATTTTTATAATTGTATGTATTACCAATGGACTAATAGGATAATACACACCAGAAAGTTGTAAAGTGGATTGGTAAAAAAATTTAAGAAAAGAATGAAATTTTTTAACTATATGTCAATCATTTTCTACCAAATAATAAGGACCTCTATTATTTGCTACAAAATAACTAATTAAATTTGCATAATATAAACATGAATCAAGCATTAAATAAGTATTATTCTATCTAACAGGTATGTTTAATGCAAAAGTTCTAGGAGACATAATTGATTTTATACAAACATCTTGAAATTGAGCATTTCTTTTATTACTACCAGTAATCCAAGTTAAAGAATCTCAAATTCTATCAATATTATCTCTAATTATTTTCATACCAGTTTTCACAATTAAATTAATAATATGACATGTACAACGTTGGTGAAAAAACTTTAAATTATCATAAAAATGATAATTACTTTTAAAAAAATCTATAGTTGTACTATTAGAACTTGCATTATCTAAAGTTAAACTTATCACTTTATTAATAACATCATAATCTTCTAAAACTTCAACAATTTTATTATAAATTTGTTGACCACTGTGATCTACATCCATTGATCTAAATCCCAATAAAGATTTATTTAATTTACATTCGTTATCAAAATAATGACTAGTCACATAAATATAATCTTATTTAGCTCTACCACTCCAAATATCAGCGGTTAGAGTCACATTAACATGACAAGTATGTATTTTATTTTTTAATTTTAATTTCATTTTCCCAAACAATTTTATTAAATTATTTCTAGTTGCAGTTTTAGAATAACTTTTAAATCCGAGAAAAAAATGAATTTTTAATAAATCTTTTAAAATATTTATCTTCAGCCATATTAATAGATTAATCAGTTACAGCAATATATAAAGCTAATTGTTCCCTATATACATCAAAATTATAACGCCAAGTAGTACCCATATTAGTTATTTGAGTTTGATTGGTTTCTGTATTTCCATGTTGAGTAATATATTTATTAGCATGCCTTTTTAAAGTATTAGTATCATTACTTGAATCAGCTTTATAAATATTTCCACAATACTTGCATCTTGCTTTCTTCACTTGAACTCCATTTTCTGTCTCGTAAAACTTATCGAAATGCACCCAAACGTCTGATGTGTGCCTGTGGTCGGTTTCGACAGCAATTGATGAACCCGCTTCTGCTTGAGATGAAGTTGGACGAGGACGACTTCTAGAACCACCGAGAGCTGTAGCAGCATGGGGAGGAATCAGGGGAATATTATGAGGTGTATCGATTCTGAGACTGGGAAAGCGGGACTATTTGAATCTCCTGCATTTATGTTAGTAAATTCAGGGGGACTATGATAGTTTCCTTCATCATTGAAATCGATGGGATGAAAATATCTATCCATTGTAGTTAAAAAAAAAATTTTGCTATAGAAGAAATAAAAAATTAAAGAAGGATAGTTGAAATTTGGAAATATGAATTGAAAATTGCATAAACTAATAAAAATTAAAATGAGAGCAAATTGACAAATGACAACAAAGAGAATAATTGAGAGATTTCAATAGAGATTAGAGAAAATGAGAGAAAATGAGAAAACATGAGTTTAGGGGCTATTTATAGAAGAAAAAAAAATAGGAAAAAAAAATGACTAAAAAAACCCCTCTAACTGTTATAAAACGGTTATATTTCAAGGGTAAAATGGGTATTTGTAAAAATATATATATATATATATTTTTTTTTTTAAAATTTTTTTGTCCAACCCAACGGGTTGGCGGGTTTTTTTTTTTTTTTTTAAAAGTAACCCGTCGGGTCGCCAGGTTATCATAATACAACCTAGCCTGCCCAGCGAGGTACATATAGGTCGGGTTCAACTCGACCCGCCTTTTAACGGTCCAGATTGAACCCTCCTTAATGCGGGTCAGGTTAGGATTGACCCGTCTAACCTTTTGTTCCACCTCGAATATTTGTTCCATCTCGTCACTCATCGAACATAATGAAAGAACCATTGAATACAAAAAATATACAACTTTCAAGTAAAACAGTGATTAAATTCCCTTTATGGGTCAATAACAGAAGTTGATTGCTAATCCTACATACTGTACTTTGTCAAAATATTGAACTTTCAAGTGAAAAACTGATTATAAAAGTGGGCCATATAGCATTTACGAATTATATCATTTACAGATTTGGGAATCTTCCATCCTTATGCCTTTTGTTAAAAATAGTCAAAAGAAAGAAAAGAAGGTGTCTTTTTGTGGGTTTGGCTGGGCCAATACTATTGAATCAGATTGGATAAGTCATCTTCTAAATTCATTTTTCAGATAAGACATAGGGAGGTGCATGGTTGCGAGGATTCGCCCTGTAGAATCATGTGCCTACAGTCTTCATTTTTTAATATATTAGCCATTAGTCAAATGTCTGTGAAAATGCTTCTCAGAAATTTTTCTTATTTCTTTTTTCATTTTCTGTTAATAAGGTATACTAAAATAATAATAAAAAAGTTATTTTTAGTGTTTTCAATAGGGTATGCTAACAAAATCCTCACTGATTTCACCCATTTTCTTTTTTGTTAACAGAACAGGTCCACTGAAAACAATTACAGTACGATCGAGGAAGAGGTACTTCAAAGTTTAAAGAGAAACACAAGCAAGCCTAAGTGAACTGTATGGAGTGTTCGAGATTGTGGAGCTAAATTCAATCTAAATTAGAATTGGATTAGAATATGAGTTTTCCTAATTTATATTTAAGTAGAATTATTTTCTTTTAAGAATATTATTGGAAATATGATTATAATTATATGAGGAATTAAAATATAATTCATATTAGGATATGAGATTTGAGTTCTATTAAGAATTGTGTCTCATATATTACTTATAAAAATGGGTTAAGTCCTAGAATTAGAGATCGCAAATTGAATAAAAGATAAAGTCAACAATTAAAAGTAAGAGTCACCAAATAAGGTTTAATGAATAAGCCAATTTGTGAAGCTTGCGAGAGATTCTTGTAATTTTTTTTTTTTTCTTCACAGTAAAATTCTGCAGCAATAAAATTGATGTAATTCTCATACAAAGAGTGAACCACTATAAATCTTGTATTTATATGTGTGATTATTTTATGTCTTTTATTCGTACTATTTTTTCGCTTTCTTAGATTTAGAATTTGCTAGTATCTACTATAATATAATTAAATCTAAATAGCAACCAGAACATACAAAAAGCAATTTGAAAACTTTAGCCTGCATAAGGATATGGTTGCGTTTGCTGTCTGATCAAATTCTCTATTGGTTAGGTTACTCAACAGAGTGCCAGATGGCAGTTTCTGAATTAAAGAAAGAAAAAGAAACTTATCCTACTTCAGTCACATCATTTAGCTTTTACGTCCAATGGTCAGGCTTGCCAGCCAGCTCCATTATTGCTGATCTCTGTAAGTATATTAAACCAGTTAGCATACTGATCATGCATCCATTCTTGCTGAAAGTTTGAAACAAAGACGCTTCTAATTAAGTTGTCGAGAGAAAAGAAAAAGGAAAACAGAGTGCATATATCCAGGGTGGACCTGAAGAACACAAGAAGAATAGGAAGATGGGTTTGCGCTTCGATATGGTTTGGTACATGATAGTTGCAGTAAGTTTGATAGAGGCTGCAGCTGCTGCAGAGTATCATTTGAACTGGACTGTTCCCCCTTCCCTCGATTTTTATTCTAATTGGAGTAGAACGACTTTTGAGGTTGGAGACGCAGTGAGTAAGCATTCGTAAAACCCTTTGCACCTTTATTTTGTCTTTCAAATTAAATTATGGAAGCCTATAAATAAGTATAATAGATACTATTTAATCCAGTATGAATGTCTAATTCTAATTCTTTATATATATAGAGTAGTAAACTAATTTCATGCAAAGCATCGGATATTCATAGAAGGTAAAGTTTCAAATTGAAGGTGGGCCCAAATTCAAAGAAACCACAACTAGAACCGGAATCGGCAACTTTCTTGGATTTGGAATCGAAATTGGAACCAAAAACATAGGTTATGTTCCGGTTCTGGCTACTCAAGTTAATTTCAATTACCCTTTTTAGAAAATGACAAACAAACCCTCTAAAAAGTAGAATACATGTCCAATAGTTTACAAAAATTACAATTCAATCCCTGCTCCTACTCGGGTACCCGGATCTTGGTTCCAGTTCCAGCTCTAGTTTCTAGTTCTGGTTCCAGCTCTACTTTCTGGTTCCTGCAGTGGTAAATGGAAACCCCGGATACCCACTAGTTCTGGTTCAACTGGTTCTTCAGCACACCCCCAGTTTCAATTAGGTAGGATTTTTTTTTTTTTTTATCCCTCTTAACACCGGTTTGAATTGCTTTCTATGTATGTACACTTCTATCATTAAAACTTTCAAAATTAGATTTATAATGAATTCCTAATTTCATAATTCTAGAATATACTAAAGACAAATTTAATATATAAATACTTAAATTTAATAAATAAAAAAAGAATAAAATCTTTATAAATGTTGTGATATATTAAAAAGTACTTTTTAGAAATGATTTTTCTTTTCAACACAGCTTTCAATTAAAAAAAATTTAGTAGAATTTTTTTTTTTTTTTTAATTTCTTGTTTTGGAATTTATTAACTTAGAAAAAATTTAAGAATGGAATTTGATGTTGAGAGCACTTCTAGAATGGTGCAGATAACCCATTTTATGTTTTAGCAAGCATCAAATCAAACAAGATACAATTCTTGCAACCTCTAGAGTGATCACCATCTTAATGTTTACATCATTATCTTCAAGAATGCATCTAACTTAATAGTTCGTCGTCTAGAGTTTCAGACATTCAATATTATTTCAAAAGAACTTAATTGAATTACACTGTACATTAATTTTTATTATTATTTCACCAGTATTCAACTGGACTGGAACGCACAATGTTGCTGATGTATCGAAGGGAGACTATGATAATTGCACAAAGGTAAGGGCGGTTCTTGATAGCGATGATCCTATAAGGGTCAACTTCAGCTCAAGTGGTAATCGTTACTTTATCTGCACTGTTGACTCACACTGTGAACAAGGCCAAAAGGTGGCTTTCCTCATTAAAGGTACGGTAAACAACAACTCCTCCTCTGCTCCCTTCGTGACTGTTCCTGCGTCATCTGAGGTTTTCACCTTCTTACTCACAGTTTTCTTGATTTACAATGTCTAAGCTAAAGCTACATGGGTTATATATGTTCATTCCCTTATTGTAGCAGAGTAGTAGTTCGCTTTTACGTTTCTGTTGCACTGATAAGAATATGGAGTTTGTAATATATACAATAAAATCATGTGTCATTTACATGTAGTTTTGGTTTTGCCATATAAAGAGACGTTGCTAATATACACTTCCTCTCTCAGGTTCTGTTTGGGACTGATGTTTTAAGTCTTATAATTTCTAATAAGAAAATAAAAATGATACACAGTACTGGTTAATAACAATATATTGAAGTTGGTTGCTTCAAAATAATAATAATAATAATAAATCTAGATTAAAATTGTTTAAGCAAACACTTGACTTACAATTTATATTTTATTGATTGATCTATATGTGTGTGTGTGTGTGTGTGTGTGTGTGTGTGTGTGTGTGGTATGGCTTTTAAGGATACATGAGAAAATAGGGCCACCTTCAGTGACTGCAAAAAAATAGCCTCACCCTTAAGCCAGAACTGTCTATTGATGCCAAACTTCAAAAGAGAAAGTAACAAGAAGGGAGTGCCTCCAGGCCGGCCGGCTACAGAATCAAGGAAATGGCTAGTGTCGTTGGTTTCATTGGGTGGTGGATTATTGTAATGAGTTTACTAGAAGGTGAAACCACAGCAGAGATATACAATGTTGGAGACGGCTATGGTTGGGCCGTTCCTCCAAACAGCTCCAGTAACTTCTACGTTGAATGGGCTAGCAATAAGGCATTTAATGTTGGAGATTTGGCCTGTAAGCCTATATTAATTATAAAAATATTACTTTTACAATCTCTTCTTATAAATTTTATCTCACCACCTTGGCATGGTAGTTCATGAATAATCAATTTATAAATTGGTAGGCAATAACCATTTGTGAACTGATTAATTGTGAGCTGTCACATTAGGGTTGTGAGAAAAAATTTGTGAAAAGAGGTTATAAGTGTAGTATTACCCTATTAATTATGTTAAAATTGTGATGGGTGTTCCTATTTAATTATTAGCTTAATTTATTTTTTTCTTAAATAAGGGACAGATTATTAGGTTGATTAGAGGAATATTCAAAGTAAAGGTCGTGCCAGATGGAGATGGCTATGATTTAAGAAGACACGTAAATCCTTGTACAAGTAAGAAGAAATAAAAGACGACGGAGGCTGAGCACGTGGGTGGATGTGATTCAGTGTTTGAAGATCATGAATTTTGACCTTTTTGCGTCTCTGTTTCTAAATAATTAATTAAATAAATATATCCAACCATGCATGCATATTATCCTCCTTTTTCGTTGATTTTAAAAAGAGAAGATTATCCAGGGACAGAACACACAGAATAATTAAGATTGGATAGCGGTGTTGGTTTAATAGCGGTGCTGGACTGCTGTAATGTCTTAAGTAGAGGGTGCAATAGCAGCAAGCAAATCCAAATATAAAGTTGGAGATCATTTTGATTGGGCTGTTTCCTCCCAACACCTCCACTGATTTCTATGCTAAATTGGATTACCAATAAGACATTTCTTTTCTGCGATTCAGTGGATAAACACTTGCTGTTCGGTATTTTTCATTCAAAATTTTCAATAGAATTTTTATTTAACACATAAACTATCAAATTAAAATCCAACGTCATATCAAACACTGGCTCAGCTCAATCTCTTACTGCAATTGCTTTCCTATTATCTCTACTTCTCTTCACTTTGTTCTTTTATTTCTTGAGTTAATGCACCCTTGTCCATGTCCATGTGTAGCTGATTTGCATTACAATAAAGGATCTTGGATATTACAACTGCGGTTTTGGTTTGATTTAGATGGATGTATGTGTATGAAGCAGATGATGATAAGATTTTAATCTTTTAAACCTCTGGACTTATCTGTACACAATCTTAATTTTCGTAAATCTTGATTGAAGTTGGTGAGTGGTGGGGTTGGCCGGTTGCAAGAGAAGACTAAGTTAAAAGGTCTGAAAGGGTGTTTATTTACACAACTTACCTAACCTTTGTATAATCAGACGCAGCTAAGCTAACATATTGATAAAAATGTTATTATACTTGATAATTTTTCGCTATTTCACAATGGCTCAAAGAAAATTTTAAGAAATCCAAGGTATATCAGGTACATGTTTGTTTCCTGACGAAAGAGACAGACAGCCAAGATAAGAAATTAGCTGCAAATTGGTGGGAGGTGGCGCCTCTTTGACAAAGACCAGAGTATTGTAAATTCCTGACAGATTTAAGTTGTCACTGCACCAGCTATTATTTCTGTCGATAAATTACATGTCGCTTGGCTTGAGAACAAATAATGAACATTTGATGTAACCATTTCACAAAAATTCGTATTGGGGGTCCCAATATTAAAAGAAGTGCCGAAGCTATCAACATCAAATAACTTCTAGATTCTATAAAGTTGATGCTAGAAGCCCTGTTTTGCAAGAAAGGAGTTTGCTCTGTCTAGTGCTTGTAAAATGTGATTTAAGGAAAGGCCCCATCAGATTGGGTCGTTAGTTTTTACTGCATTCGAGATGGGTGAAGCATACCTATAATTCCTTAAAAGTTCATAAACTCCCCTTCACATTCAAGTGTATACGATTTATAATATACATTCCAACTATTTTCCAGTATTTTAGCTGGCCTGCAACACACAATGTGGTTGAACTATCCAGGGGTGACTATGATAAATGCAGAACCAAAAACCCCATCGGTGAAATCTAACAAATCAGCCCAGCAACTTTTACTTTGGATTCAAACGGCAGTCGTCATTTCATCTGCACCGTGGATTCACAATGTGAACGTAGCCAGAAGGTGACAATCAACATTGGCCACTACAGCTCTGCTTCATCAATGACGGTCAGCTCCATGTCGGCACTTTTCTCCGCGTTAACCTTACTCTTCTTTATATCAAGTTATTATTTTTAAGTGGCATCACATTGTGTAGCTATTTATTCGAGTCAGTGTTATTGCTGGGATGTTTATTGTTTTGAGTAAATACACGACTCTTGGACTATTGCTTTTACAGGATTGCTGACATGTTATTACAACTTATAAGACCGTGTCAGTGTCTTTGCCGGCAATATCTGTTTTTAGCAGTTTCTGCAATCACATACAATTTAATGACATGAGAGACATTGTCGATTCAAAATTTAATGAAATTGAATATAGTGCTGTATTTCCTTTTGGGTCTTGAATATAAATCCTAATCTCAAAATCGTCACACAATATTCAATAGTGATGGCAGAAAAGATTCAGTGATCAAGCAGGCAAAATAGCAGTCCAAATCAAGATCAAACTTGTCTGCCCAGTATTTAGATACAAACCTGTCATTTGAAACCGGCACAAAGTTTAAACATATGGTGCCGTGAATGCATGAAACAATAGCTTCTAGTTTGAAATTATAGAACTAACCACACCGAACGAAAGTAAGCTAAAACATGCTGGAGGGGATAGGAATAGGATGACAAGACAATTAGGTCTCTTAAGAAGATAAGTTCTTAGAACATACTTTCAAGTTAAGGCTACTTCGCAAAAACCTCTCTCATACCATCCTTATCTCCACAATCAGTAGCCTAGCAAAGCCCAACTTACTCCACCTCACACAAAAGTGCAATGCCTATGGAATATTTCTTTAACTGGCAACCAATGCCACTTGCACACATAAATTGACCAAAATAGAACAAGGAGAAGAACGATTAGGAAATTGACCAGGAACCAGTCCCACATCAAGTCTTTCATCTCAATTCCAAAATTTAACGGTTATAAACTACACTTAACTCACAACAAATATTAGATCAGTATCTAAATCATTAGTACATGGTAAACTAGTTCCTGTTAATTCTATTCATTCATGTAGAGCCTGGTGTGACATCTAGTGTAGACTACTTTCAGTGCAGTTCAGTACCATGCTTGTAAGTTCAGATTTCTATTCCAATCAATGAATTTGTGGTTCAAATTTCTTAGATCACCTGTGCAGGACATAATTTTTCTCCTTTACCAAGCTGAGTCTTTATTTAACCAGAAAGCTAGAGATCATTCAATTAAATGTCTGTGGTGTTAAAGTGACACCAAAAAAATTTAAGTTCAGAGATCGTTTGTGGCTTGTTGTCTACGTGCTGTACTCTGTGATCACAGCCGAAAGTTCATATGATTTTCAGATTTTATTTACAATTCACTTTACTGTGCATCCCATATTGCTATTTATAATCCACATGAAAGATTTTTATGTTTAGAAATAAATAGAAAATAGAAGTTGCAAAATGATTCTCCGCTAGATTTGAGGCATCTCACATTTTAAGTATATAAGCTACAACTTGAAAAAAGTGTCTACAAACCTGGTCCTCTTATTCGACCAATGACTTGGTTGGACGGAAGCCCTGGCTGCAAGCAAAATTGTACATTGTCCAAAGTGTCATTGAATGGTGCCTTAGACTTTCCAATAGTTGCCTCTAAATTGTGAAATTCACCCTCAGGAAACCACTTAGTTGAACAGGACTCGAAGGGATCATTAGCAGTCTTCCCAGGAAAGAAACTGAACTCCTTATTTCTTTGTGAAGAAAGATTGCTGAACCTATTCTCTTCCTGAGAACTACTTGAACCAGCATCTTCCATTTCACGAGCAGAACTTCTATCCATGCTCATACAGGGGTCTGCAACAAGGCCCAATCGCAAGGATAAATCACATTCTGTAGCAAGTGGCCTCTTGTGGGTGTCCCTAAAATCTGGTTGTGTGATTCTCTTAGAAGCAACATCAGAGCCTGGACAGGAGAAAAGATTCTGCAAGACACCCATTTCTGAAGGCTCTGGAATTGACATACCAACAGGTTTGCCAACAAAAATTGGGGCAGCGTTAATATTTTCTGGAACCTGGAATCCTAACTGGGGATCTTCAGTTCCAAAGTGAGTTCCATAGTACAATGGATAAACCGAACCCAACTTCACTGGGATGTTAGTCTCCACTGTCATCGCCTTGTTATGGCCAGAAGGGATAGTAAAAGAAGGGTTACTATGAGAAGCCGCTAGGTTATCATTTCCAATAACATGGCAGTTTGATTGTGAAACTGGAAAAGTTGAATTCACGTTCACAGAAGATCTTGCAAAGTTTAATGAACTTCCAGAATGAAGTGCTGATAACTTAGGGCATTGTTCATCAACAGATTTATCCACAATTCTATGAGGCATGGATGGAGAATCTTGTGGTCTCAAGTTGAGATAAGTCCTAGGGTTACTGTGCCGTTGGCTTCTTGAAGCTCTCACCGGAATGCAGCCCAAATTAAGGGCAGCTAAGCAACAAAAAGAAAAATTGTGAACAAACAGAAATTAAAACCTCTGGTCTATTTGTTATGAACTACTTGAAAATTTAATTAAGTTTGAGCTAATATGCATCCACAATGAAAACAATCCAAGAGCATAATTTGAGAGTTGGATCTAAAATAGCAGGGCAAATAACAAATATAATGTTACCTTCAACACAAGGCGGTAAAAGCTCTCCAGTTTCAGTGCTTTCGTCTCTTCTAATAATCGTGTTAATGGCATCATTTACACGGTCCCATAATGTATCAAGATTAGTGTACTCACCCTAAGTAATGAAAGCATGCAAAGATGAATACGAAAAAAAAAAAAAAAAAAAAAAAAAAAAAAAAAAAATAGAAGATCCAAGAACTTGAAAGCAAAATCAAGAAGAGTAACCTCAGAATTAGCTTTGGAGTACATGATTTCTTCGGCTTTTAAAACTACAACAGGTAGTTTTTCTTGCCACTCCCTGTTTTTTTTAGTTCGAGGGCTATGACTCTCATGGACGACCCTAATCAAACACATGGTGGACAATCATAAAAATGCAGAAAACAGCATAAAAATAAAAAGAAGCAACATAGAGAAGACCCAGAACCTGAAAATCTGTTGAATGATAGAACCTCTCATGGGTTGATGTCTTTCGCTGTGCCATGCTCTTCTCACACACTCATATGGTCTTGGCCCTGGCCTTGGCATCTTCAATCAGAAACTCACCACCTAAATCTTTAGCCTACAAGAGAAAAGATGTATATAATTTGTGTTTTTTTCTTTTTTTCTTTTTTTCAAAGAGAAGAAGAAGAGAGTGAGAGAGTCTACATGAGAGAATAGATACAAAGATTGACAAGTCAGTTGGTGCTGTGTTTTGGTGTGAGTAACTTCAATCCCCAGTTTTGCAATGGGGATTTTTTTGCTGGGGAGTTGTACACAATAGAGAGAGAAAGAGTTGCTTTCCCATACTAGCTTTGTCTTCCCCCAATAATTTAAGATAGTTTGCCATTTTTTGATGTACAGTTAGTTCATTATTTAAAAAAAAAAAAAATTATTTTAAATAATAATAATAATACAAGAGGTTAGGTCATTTTCTTTGGGAAAACGTTGTGTGGGTGGGTATCTGAAAGTGCCTGGATTCAAGCCTACCATTAAAATCTCCCTGCCCATGCCATCACCAATTTGCAAATTGATTACCCAGCATGGTCACAAACAGAAATTGACATCTTAACCGCCCCTATTTTCAGACTGAATCCTCTTCCTCTGCAACAGTCACTGTAAAGCAACTTGTGCTTACACTACACACATTGGGACTCACTCTCATTCACTTATCACTTTTCTTTCTTTTTTGGAAAATGCCTCTATGCCTATGGCCAATTGATGGATGTAACAGCCACCTTGAAGAATGGAAGATATCCATATCCATCACCATGAATGTCAATTGCATAAGCATAATCCTCTTTCTCATTAGTTAAAAACTTAATGCATCCACTCTTTGATAATGCCATTGCATATTTAACACACAAACTTTCTTCTCACACCATTCAGTACTTTTCAAACTCTTCATCATGGATCCTCTTAAACAACCAAAGTGTCCCTTTTGCTTTGATATCTTGTTACATGACAAATCTTCTTCACCAAATATTTTTACCTGTTGTGATCCTTGATCTCGACTTTCTTATAGAAATCCTACCTAACAAATAAAAAGGATTGAATGCTTGCCTGGGTGTTGGTGTTGCCTATATATGTACGAGTTGATCAAGCTTTGGTGTGATATCTCTGTATGCTCAACTTGCTTTACAAAGTGCAACACCAATGGATTTTGAATTGAGTCTAGTTTTCATTTGGATTTATTAGCTTTTTCTTTCTATTGGAAATATTGATAAGCATAATTTCCTCTATCAGGAGGAACACTAGGGTTGTCTACTGTCATGTTCTATTTCTACTTGTATGTTCAACTCACCCACCTCGTAATCTGAAAGCTCCTGTTCCATTTGTAGAAAAGGATAGTGAAACTAACCCATCCATTTCATATGAGATGTGTGATATGGGGTCATCATCACCATACATCAATGTGATGAAGAGAAAGCAAGCAGCAATCCCTGGCTTCATGGTTAATACAGATTAGACCTCCTGGCTCCTTCCCAAGCACAAGCACTGACGTTTTTTTGTGGGGTCCAACTTTCTTTTAATCTTAGCCACACCTTTGTTTTGATGGGATTGGGTTTCCATTTAACGAACTCCCCTGAAATTTCAAAAAGTTGTAAATGATTACTTACCTCTCCTCCCATTCCCAACATTCAAAGTAGAGGTCAACAAATGTGTAATTAGCTATACTACTTTACACGAGTTTAAACTTGTTAATTCAATGAGGCTTGGATATTGCCATATTGGTAAGGATAGCAAGAGATTATGGGGTGGTCAGAAACGCTGGTCAAAGTCCAAGTTCTAAGCCATGAAAATCGAAGCTTACAAATCTTGTATTTTAACATATATTTAAAACTGTTATTTTTTTATTTTTTAGTATCTTTAATATTAATTTTTTAAAATGCACTTTAGGTATTCTACTAAACAAAAGTTTAATTGAAATGCATATTATTATTTATGGCACAATTTGATGGATTTTTAAATTAAATGGAGCTAACCAACGCCACATTGTCGATAAGAATTAAAGGGGGGAAAAAACAAAGGTTGTAAGATACAAATTTGCATTTTTGGTATCTATAAAGTCTAAACCAAGCCAAAGGTAAAAAAGGTACTTGGAAGCAAGATACACACCTAACTGCATCTGCATGGGCCTTCAAGTTATACTGGGTACATGCTGTCGTTTTCTTTTCAAAAATAAAAGTACCCATTAAATTGGTATAATTGGACCCCTTTTATAATTTCTTAATTTTATGATTTTAATTCTCTGTCTTAAAACCTGGCCCGGTCTCACCAGTTTAACTGGTCTAACTAGGACCCGAGGCCTTCGTCGGGCGTGGTCACCATTTGTATTGTTCACCATTTCCACTATCCACCCATTTCAATCTCAAACCCTAGAGAAGAGAGCAGTGATCGACGAGCAGACGATGGCAAGGATGTTGGGGGTTTTGGAGAGAAAGTGTCGGCAAGTTGAAAAGTGGCAACAGAGGTGATTTCTGGTGAGTGAAACGACTGAAAAAGACAAAAGTCACACAACCAAAATAGCAGGTTGTTGTCGGCAATTGGCGAGGCAAACAAGGAGGTGAGATTGGCTTTGGTCAGAAGGCTGAGGGGAGTGTTTTGATGGTGATGGGAAGTGTTGTCGACACCGGAAAAATGCCTTATTTGACTTAGGTTGTCGATGTCAGTAGTGGTGTTTTTTACCGCAAAATATTTATATTTCAGCCAGATCTTGGGCATATTTGCTAGGGAATGGCTCAAATGATGAGTGGGATTTGCATTTGATATATTGTTCCCGCCAACTAGTCGATTGCCGATTTGCATTTGGGGTGTCTTTGATAGATCTCAAACCTATATAGACTTCTATATAATTTTTAGGTGTATGTTTGCTGGATTTCAAAACTTCTTGACATGCTAACATCACCGATTTGACCCACTGGCCAAACCAGTTTAATCAGTCAACTTGAGACCCAGTACCATTAAATAATATTTAAATACTTGAAAAGTTTGTTTTAAATTGTCAAGTTTGAAATATTTAGCTACCGAGATCTGATTATGAGTTATTAAATAGTAAAATGAGTAAAACTTGGCCTCGAATCATACAAAAAAATAAGTGATAGGCTCCGTCGAGTTCTTAATAATCATAATATTATGTTTTGTTCATATACGTATAAATGACAATATAGATCACTTTTCCGATGCTTCAAAAAATTCCATTTCATTTTAGTTTCTAATGATTTTTTTGTAATGAACTTACTTAATTGATTCAGAACATTTGTTCCTGATAGTATCTATCGAGACTTTCAAAGTTAGAAAAAGTAAGTAATCACTCAATTTCTTTTTCTTGGATCACAAAATCATAATTCATCTATATATAGATTTCTTTCGATTAGATATTAAGAAATACAAAAAAAAAAAAAAGTTATGATAAGCCTGGAAAAAAATCTAAACTAAGAATATAAGAATAGGAAAATTTGATGAATGGAATAAAAAACCATTATTTTTTCGATTAGGATACCAAAAAGGGATGCGGAAAATTCCCTTTCTGGTATTGAGGATTAGGACAACGAATAATACCTTTTAGAATCCCTCGACAAGTCAGTTGGTGCTGTGTTTTGGTGTGAGTAACTTCAATCCCCAGTTTTGCAATGGGGATTTTTTTGCTGGGGAGTTGTACACAATAGAGAGAGAAAGAGTTGCTTTCCCAGACTAGCTTTGTCTTCCCCCAATAATTTAAGATAGTTTGCCATTTTTTGATGTACAGTTAGTTCATTATTTAAAAAAAAAAAAAATTATTTTAAATAATAATAATAATACAAGAGGTTAGGTCATTTTCTTTGGGAAAACGTTGTGTGGGTGGGTATCTGAAAGTGCCTGGATTCAAGCCTACCATTAAAATCTCCCTGCCCATGCCATCACCAATTTGCAAATTGATTACCCAGCATGGTCACAAACAGAAATTGACATCTTAACCGCCCCTATTTTCAGACTGGATCCTCTTCCTCTGCAACAGTCACTGGAAAGCAACTTGTGCTTACACTGCTCACATTGGGACTCACTCTCATTCACTTATCACTTTTCTTTCTTTTTTGGAAAATGCCTCTATGCCTATGGCTAATTGATGGATGTAACAGCCACCTTGAAGAATGGAAAATATCCATATCCATATATGAATGTCAATTGCATAAGCATAATCCTCTTTCTTTTTAGTTAAAAACTTAATGCATCCACTCTTTGATAATGCCATTGCATATTTAACACACAAACTTTCTTCTCACACCATTCAGTACTTTTCAAACTCTTCATCATGGATCCTCTTAAACAACCAAAGTGTCCCTTTTGCTTTGATATCTTGTTACATGACAAATCTTCTTCACCAAATATTTTTACCTGTTGTGATCCTTGATCTCGACTTTCTTATAGAAATCCTACCTAACAAATAAAAAGGATTGAATGCTTGCCTGGGTGTTGGTGTTGCCTATATATGTACGAGTTGATCAAGCTTTGGTGTGATATCTCTGTATGCTCAACTTGCTTTACAAAGTGCAACACCAATGGATTTTGAATTGAGTCTAGTTTTCATTTGGATTTATTAGCTTTTTCTTTCTATTGGAAATATTGATAAGCATAATTTCCTCTATCAGGAGGAACACTAGGGTTGTCTACTGTCATGTTCTATTTCTACTTGTATGTTCAACTCACCCACCTCGTAATCTGAAAGCTCCTGTTCCATTTGTAGAAAAGGATAGTGAAACTAACCCATCCATTTCATATGAGATGTGTGATATGGGGTCATCATCACCATACATCAATGTGATGAAGAGAAAGCAAGCAGCAATCCCTGGCTTCATGGTTAATACAGATTAGACCTCCTGGCTCCTTCCCAAGCACAAGCACTGACGTTTTTTTGTGGGGTCCAACTTTCTTTTAATCTTAGCCACACCTTTGTTTTGATGGGATTGGGTTTCCATTTAACGAACTCCCCTGAAATTTCAAAAAGTTGTAAATGATTACTTACCTCTCCTCCCATTCCCAACATTCAAAGTAGAGGTCAACAAATGTGTAATTAGCTATACTACTTTACACGAGTTTAAACTTGTTAATTCAATGAGGCTTGGATATTGCCATATTGGTAAGGATAGCAAGAGATTATGGGGTGGTCAGAAACGCTGGTCAAAGTCCAAGTTCTAAGCCATGAAAATCGAAGCTTACAAATCTTGTATTTTAACATATATTTAAAACTGTTATTTTTTTATTTTTTAGTATCTTTAATATTAATTTTTTAAAATGCACTTTAGGTATTCTACTAAACAAAAGTTTAATTGAAATGCATATTATTATTTATGGCACAATTTGATGG